CCCCCCACCCCGCAACTTCACTGCAAGGGGGTAGGGGTAGTGGGAGGATGATGAAAAGCTACGATGATGCATCCAGTCAGTTATTCAGAAACACCCCCCTCCTGGAAGGAAGGGGCGGCTGATCCGCTTTAGGCACTCTAGCCCTCCCCAAACTGCAGCAGCGCCCTCCGCATTTGGGGGCCGCAACACTTCCTTTTGGTCTTGGGGGAGGAAACGGGAGCGTCTTTTGGGAGCCCACGACTGCTTTCGGATCTCGCCAAGGCGCTGCAGCGTGCCAAGCACAGCAGCCCCAGAGGAAAGGGCTCCATGATTGGCAACGGATTTCTCTCTGGCACGAGCTCCACGCTCTTCCCACCCCGGTTGCCAAATGGCAAAATTAAAAACAAGCCAGAAAGTTCCAGGGAATAATAATGAGCCAGATACGGTACAGGGACTCCAGGCACTTCATCACAACTCAAGGTTTGTCATCAAGGTGACAAAGGGCCGTTGCGGATCTTCCAGGGAAAAAACTGGGACTGGAGTCTTCCTTCTGCGAAGGGCCACGGCGGCAGGCAGGGAAGAGGAACGCGGCAGATCCCAACTTGGCCGCTAACAAGGGCTGCGTCCCTGTCTCACTGAACTAGCCCAGTTTCAGGGTTTGTACGCGGCACAGAGCTATGAAGTAACCAAAGGAGCTGGGTTTGCATAACATGCTCAGCCACAAAAAACAAAGAAAGGTAAAAATTAAGCAAGGCTTATAGTTTGTGGAAATGCAGTTGCTGATAGATCCTTAAATAACCTCTGAAGAGTAACACAAGTCAGTCTTAGTTCATGCACCACCTCGCACCACAACGTGGTCTGCTGATGGCTTAGGGCAGGGTTTCTCCACCTTAAGATGGGTGGACTTCAATTCCCAGAATTCCCCAGGCACCATGTATGGATTTCAACCCCCAGAATTCCCCAGCCAGCATGTATGGACTTCAACTCCCAGAATTCCCCAGCCAGCATTATTTAGTGTCACCTTGATCCACATTCAGACTCTACTAAAAACATGCTGCGTCCCTCTTCCTCTGCTCCCCTTATTTCCCAAACGAAGACCGGTGATTTCAGTAGTCTACCACAGTGTTTCTCAACTTGAGCAATTTTAAGACAGGGGGACTCCAACTCCCAGAATCCCTTTGAATGCTGGTTAGAGAATTCTGGGAGTTGAAGCCCACCCATCCTAAAGTTGCCAAGGTTGAGAAACACTGGTCTACATACCCAGCCAGGTCTCACCAATGCTGGACTTGTGGTGGTCCGCAAAAACTTTTGATGGTAACAGAGAACAGGGCTTCACTCCAAAATAGGGCCCTCTTTGCTATTTTATTTGTGACATTAATTTCTTACCCAACACAGCAAAAGTCCAGACTCCTAAAGTAATGGCAGCTTTTTTCTTCCAACACAGAGATTCTTCTGCCGGTGTTACAGCTCCCTCTACTGATTAAGAAAAGTCCTTTAAAAAATGGAAAATAATTCAATAGGTCACTGCTGAAGTTCTCTGATCTGTTTCTGATGGGACTAAGGAGCAAAAAACTGTCCTCAACACCCCAAAATTCATCCAAACATGTTGGCCTTGCCCACTTGGAGATACAGGGCCCTAAAAGGGGTGCTGGTAAGATGACTCTTTTTGCCCAGAAGGTGACACTTTTCAGGTGATCCACCCAAGGCTGGTTCTCCAACCAACCAGGGCTATCAAAATTGGTGGCTTCAGAGGATGTAGGAGCCAGGCTAATGACTTGCAAGAGAGTTTGAGATTAGGGCAAACGTTCAGCAAAATAGGGTAATTTTTTCCCCCTTTCCTTCTTTCTGCTCACGGCAGGAAAGGAGAACACAAGGGGTTGGCTTTGCAAGGACCCAGCACGATGACGTTGAGCAGGAGACAAGGAGAAGGAAGGAGAGTTCTAACCCAGCCGAGAAGAGAATAGTATGTGCAGAAACGGTGGGTTTTGTCGGAAGCAGGAAAAGAGGAGACAAAACAGAGCAAGAACTGGGTTAACTTTCCCTGGAGGCAGGAAGCGGAGACCTAACGTGCATATTGAAACCCCTGGATCCTGAGGGTTGTTCGATGTTTAGGTAGCCACCATTCCTAGCTTGTTGGCATCCAAACAGCCAGCTGCTTCCACAACCTGGGTTAACAGCAGTCCACGCACAGGGCGTTGTCATCTGCAAAGCAGAGTCCATTCTTGGCTGTGTCCGCCTCTCTTCCTTAGGAGACAATCTGCCCCACTGCACTTGGGGGGTGGGGGACAGAGAACAGTCACCACTTGGAGTACTTCCTACAGGCAGCATCTCGGTAGAAGCGGAAGATGGTTTCGGCCGCTCGCTGCGCGGTGGCAATGCATTGCTGAAGCTGCAGGGGTCAAGGGAAGGAGAGGCGGTTAAACCAGGGAAGGGGAAAGGAGGAAAGATCCCCCCAAACAGACTGGGGGGGGGGCTGCCCAGGCCTTGCTCGCTGCCCCTCCTTGGGGAGGATCACCAGTTCCAGGTCTCCCATAGCACAGCCTTTAATTGAATTCCCCTGTACTGGTCATCGACAGCCCTTCGAGGTAGGCCAGGTCAGGAAACAGACACCACAAGGAATACTAGAAATACTAGAATTCTACTTTCTGGATCTAGGCCAGTGTTTTTCAACCTTGGCAACTTTGAGACGTGTGGACTTCAACTCCCAGAATTCCCCAGCCAGCCATGCT